TATCAGCTATATTCTGTTATGAAAATCGTGTGTCATTATAGGTTTCCCAATTGATTTTTCCCTAAGAAGGGCTAACAGTGTGGACTGATCACTCTCTGGACATATTCAAGGTATTTGAAAGAACAGCCTCAGGAAAAGCTTCCTCTGGAATCAGATATCTCCCCTAGCCACTTTCAAGGACTAGTAGTAATAACAGTCCACATGCTAGTCTCCTGATTTAAGGTAAATTCCACAAGGAGACACTGCCTAGGTCAGGTGGACCTTAAGTAATAGCTTTACACAATTTTGCTCGGACCCTCCTTTCTTACAGCCTTACTAACTTTATAGACCTCTAACTCCTTACCTAACCACTTCTAGGAATAGTTAGATAACCTTCTGCTCTGACAGCTATGCTCAGCCAGAACCCTGAGCCAGTTCAAGTCTCCCTGTAATTATCATCATTGGCAGCATCCGGTCAGGTCCATCCCCAGTTGGAGGAAAGTACCTTATCAGAGATACCTCCATACTCTCTATGAAAAGACTTAAGCATCCAGACTCCCTGTTTAAGAAGGCCTGGTGGATGTGCCAATTAAGCTTAACTTCTTCCTTTCCCAAATCTTACCTCTAGTTCCAGATCTCCCTTTAACTATCACCAGAGGCATCTAGCTGTACACAGGTTGCCTAGCAACTGAGCACACTTTCCCTCACCCTGCAGGAAAAAAAACGGCAGATAGCTTGGACAGATAGGAGCCACAGGAAAAAAGAGAGCAGTTTTATTTTCTCCCATTGACCTAGCAATTTACAGATTCTTAACATTTTCTACCAATCACATTTAAAACTATAGTGGAGCACCCTCTTCTTAGATATTACCTGAATTTAGCCTTTAGTTAACTCATTTCCCCATTGGTCACTTCCCTTTTGGGTTGCAAATAATGATTAACAATTAATGTCCCTTTATGTGATTCTTAACACCCCTCCATTTGACCCTGGAAGCCTGGTGGTCACTGCCTGAGGAAAATTCTTACCTACCTTTATGACCCCGTAGAATTCAAGCCTGGTGACCCGGCTCGACCAGGGGATTGCTATTGCTTGGGTTTATAAGTGGACACTGGAGAGACTTGGGGAGGACAGAGAGATGGAGAACAGGGAGGAATAAGGAGGATTTTGACCATCGAGTACGTGTGGACGAGATGGAAGATGAATGAGGAAGAGTCAGATAGGAAAGAACTAGCTGGGTAAGAACGAGATGAAAAGGACCTAGGTGAAGCAGAATTTAAGACAAGAGAATTAAAATAGAACTTAGAGGGAGCAGTAGATGAATACAGAGAGAAATCATGTAAGGGGGAGCTAGGCACAAGAACAGAACTGAAGCTGTGTAGATAAAGAACTCACACAAAATAATAAAGTATATGGACTAAGGAGTTTTGTGTACATAGATTCATTTCTTTTCATCAAAGATTAATTATCAGCTGGTTGTAGATTCTTTCCGGACCCTGGGAGGGGACTACTGAGGGGCTGGACCCCGTAGTCCCCAATAGTACAAAGTCTCCACAATTAATACAAGATAAGAGAAACTTAAATGTAAGCAAGCAAAAAAAATGAAAAGCAGCCAGGCGGTGGCCCACACCTTTAATGCCAGCACTGCCAGAGGCAGGCGGATCTCTGACTTTGTGGCCAGCCTGATCTACAGAGTTGAGTTCCAGGACAGCTAGTGCTACATAGTGAAATGCTGTCTCAAAAAACAAAGGGGTTGGGGATGAAAGAAAAGGGGAAGAAAAGCCAACATATTCAAGGCTTTGAGTTCCTCTCCCATTATGATTTAAAAAAAAACTACATGGATTAGAAAAAAATCCTATTGAATTATGATTGTATGGGAGCACAGATACAAAAGAGACTTTTTTTGGTGAAAATTTGGCCCACTCCAAAGGCACTCTCATTTGGTTCATACAGGCCTTTTTGGAAACTAAGCCCATACTACATTTTTTTTGTCTGTAGCAAGTATATTAAAAAGTTTTAAAAGGTTAACTGAGTGTTGTGGCTTACACTCCTAATCCCAGCCCAGCATTCAAGAAACTGGAACTGGCCAGGCAGTGGTGGCACACGCCTTTAATCCGGGCACTCAGGAGGCAGAGCCAGGCGGATCTCTGTGAGTTTGAGGCCAGCCTGGTCTACAAGAGTTCCAGGAAAGGCACAAAACTCTGTCTTGAAAAACCAAAATAGGAAAAAAGAAACTGGGGCTGGAGGATTGCCATGATTTCCAAGCAAGCCTGGACTATAGTGTGAAACCCTGTTTCCAAAACCTTATACACTGGGGCTGGAGAGATGTCTCGGCCACTAAGAATCGCATTGGCTGCTCTTGCAGAAGATCCAGGCTCAGTTCCCAGAACCCACATTGTGGCTCACAACCATCTATAATTCTAGTTCCGAGGATACGATACCCTGTTCTAGCCTCCACTGGCAAACATCTAAGTAAGTAATGGGAGTGCAAACAACATACATACAAACAAAACATCGGTTCCTTAGCTTTTTAATGCTGTATGTAAGAAAGTACTATGACCAGAAGCAACTTGGAAAGGAAAGGGTTTATTTCAGCTTACGAGGGTAGTCCATCATCAGGGAAGTCAGGGAGGAACTCAAGGCAGGAAAGAACATGGAGTCTGGAACTGAAACAGAACCACAGAGGAACACTGCTTGCTCCCCATGCTGTCTTACAAATCAAGGACCACTTGCTCCAGGGCTGTACTGTGCACAAGGCTGGGCTCTCCTACACATTAACAAAAAAAAAAAAAAATACACTACACTACAGACCTGCCCAAAGGCAATGGGGGGTGGGGGGTAATTTTCTCAGCTGGAGTTCCACCTTCCCAGATAACAAAAAGCCAACCAGAAAACCCATTTACATAAATTAACAGAATTTTTTAAAGTTCTAAAAACAGGGGCTGGAGAGATGATGGCTCAGTGGTTAAGAGCACTAGCTGCCCTTCCAGAGGACCCGGATTCAATTTTCAGCATCCACATGGCAGCTCAAAACTGTCTGTAATTCCAGTCCAAGGGGATCTGGTGTCCTTTTCTGGCCTCCACACAGGCACACACATGCAGACAAAACACTCCTAAACATTTTTTGAACAAAATTTAAAAGTTTGTGCATGTAGAGGAGGCTGGTCTTCGGCTGATAATCTTGTTTCTGCCTTGAAGGTGCTGGGATAACATCTGTGATGGTTAATTCTAATTGCCCAGCTTAAGAATTAGTTTTTGTTTTGTTTTTTTCACTTTATTTTTAAATTTGTATAAGGAGGGTGTTTTGCCTGCATGTAATGTCTGTGCCATGTGCATGCAGTGTCCATAGGGGACCCAGAAGAGGACATTGAATCATCTGGAACTAGAGTTATAGACAAGCTGTAAGCTGCTCCCCGCCCCTTCCCATGACCTTGAAATAATATTTAGCTAATTCACCTCACACTCAAATATATCTTGTGAGCTGGGTAGTGGTAGTGCACACCTTTAATCCCAGCACTTGGAAGGCAGAGGCAGGCGGATCTCTGTGAGTTCAAAGCCAGCCTGGTCTACAAATCGCGTTCTAGGACAGGCTCCAAAGTCACAGAGAAACCCTGTCTCGGAAAACCGGGGGGGGGGCGGGGGGGGGACAAAAACAAACAAACAAACAAAAAAAAACCCACAATGATCAAAATCTCCTCTTAAAAAAGTTATAAAATTATGCTTATACTGTTGAGATCATTTGAAAATTGAAATTTTAACTTTCTGATGTGAGTATTTTGTGAAAATACTCTTCTCGATTGCAGAATGTATTTTTCATAGCTTGTAAAGCAGGCTTGTGTTCTTCTAATACCTCGGTCTGATTCATGAGCCATAAAAATGTATTCTTCCCCTGAGTTGTAAGGTTCAAAATTAAAGACAACTGTACATAGATATATGAGATTAACTCTTCAGAGCATGTCAGGTGCTGGGTTTGGGAATACAGGAGCTACCTCACAATGTTTATTCATTTGTTCAATGCAGGTTTTGAACGATTTCTAAGTATTAACAGCCATTCACGAAGTCGTGACACTTAAGCTCCATCTTTGTAACAGTATTGAAATTACGCCTGGCTGTAGAACACCGAGCCCCACTCCAAAGTTTGGCGTTTCATACACCCGAAGAGAAATTTAACCAGTTTTAGGCCACAACAACGCAGAGGGTGACTGTACACCTCGCTCAAGTAAATAGCATTTCAACACTGCAGTTTCCCGCTGACAAAACTGGCTTTTGTGAAGGTCATTAAAGACCTCCGGACCAAAGACGACTTTAACTCGGCAGGGAAAGGAGGCCAATTCGGAGGCTGGGCGAGAAAGAGGTCGAATAAGGCTGGGAGTTGGAGGCGACGGGAAGCCTATCAACGGCCCAACGCTCTCGCGTTTTGGCTCACACAGTTAGTCAACTTTTCCAGCACCCGGGGAGACCTCGGCTCGCAGCCAGAGTCCCCAGAAGCGGGAAAACGGGTCTCCCAAAACTAGCACGTGAAACACGAGGCAGGGTGCGCAGGAACGGAACCTGGCCACACACCCTTCCCCTCCGAGGATGGCGGGAGAACCGGGCGACGGAGCACATCTGGGACCAGGAAGAGAGGCTGCGGTCAGCGGGGCTCGCTAGGGCCCACCGCGGCGGGAAACAGCGAGGCCCTCACCCAGGCGGGTGAGAAGACCACAGGCCGCCCAGCGCGACCGCCGCACGCGAGGCTCCGATCCTGCCCTGCGGCTTAAGGGCCTCGGCATCCCCAAGAACCGGGGCCCAAGGCCCGGTCGCCTCTGAGCTGGAACTCGGCGACCGCGACCGCGGGGGTCGCTCCCGCCACCCGTATCTCTCACACTAGCAAAGCCAAAAAGGTGCCTCCGATACCGGGAAGCCGCGCCGCAGGCCAGGCTGCGACTCGCCGAGCGCCGCTGCCCCGGCCAAGGGACGCGGACGGTCTCCCAGGTCTCGCTCACGCTGCCTGAGGGCGGCAGGGACCCCAAGCACAGACTGACCTTGGAATCTCCGTTGCACAGAGCCATCTGGGCAGTCGCGGCGGGAGGGCGCCGGAAGAATCGGTGCCGCGGGCGGAGACGCTAGCGAGGCCTGGACGCGAGCAGCACTGCGCCTGGACCAGCTAACTGTGGTAAGCGTGCAGCACAGCAGCAGCACGGAACGCCGCCGCAGCTCCAGAACACAGCCGGAGCGAGCTCTGCTCCCGCCTCCGGCTTCCGTCCGGCCGCCGCCAACCGGCCCGCCTACGGAGGCGGGGCCAACCAAGCCCCGCCCTCGCCGTCGCCCGAGGAAGGGAGCCTCTAGCCTACAGGAATGGAAAGCGTTCGCCACGCGGCTGCGGCCTCGATCGCCTTGCTGCTAGGAGGAGCCTTCGGCGTAGCGTGGCTTTGTCACCAAGGCCACCACAAGAAAAACTCCAGTCGGGAGGCCCCTTCCGCTGAAGGGCCACCTGACTTCAGTGGCAGCTGGTGGCACAGGGGAGCAGGCCTCCAGGGGCCTTTTGGGTAGCCAGGACACAGTTGCAGGACATTGGAGAGGCAAAGGTTTAGGTTCATCAGATCTGCAGCGCCTGCCGGATTTCGTAAAAGAAGGGAGTTTGAGAGCAGCCCTGATTGGCAGCTGCGCCAGCCGGCTGGTCCTGGAGCTCAGTATAGCAAACAGTGCTTTCATTAGAATTGTTTTCAGGGAAGGAACTGTAGTTCCTCCAGCTAGCCCCTTGGCACCCATCAGGATTAGTATTACTTTGAAGTGGTTATCTGAAAGCCTGAATCAGGGTTGAGGAAAACAATAACAACGTGTAGCAAAGTGTCCTGGCTCACTCCTGAATACCAGCACCAGGGAAGCTGAGACAAGAGAATCGCCACGAGTTTGCGTCCCCAACACTTTGTCTCAAAAAAAAAACAAGGAATGATCATTTCTAGTAAAGCCTTTCAACAACTATCCACCTATTATAAAACACTAACATTGCCACGCTCTGCTGTCAGGCTCTGGTTCAGGTTATGGGCAGTGGCATCGAGCAAACTGGAACCACCAGAAATTACTCTAACGGTCGGTGTGTTGAGAATAGAGAAGAAGGATTGTTCTTGTCACATCTTTTACAAACCAGAAAATAAGACACGGTAAATAATTTGCCACTCAAGTAGCCCTGTTTCACTTACCTTTTTGTTTTTTGTTTTTGTTTTTGGTTGGAAAAATGAACAGTTGAATTTTCCAATGCCATGATACTGGGTTTTCTTGGTGGGTCTGTATGAACAATCCAGAGTGTAGTTAACGATAGAACAGTTTCAACTTGTATAAACATCCACCCCCACCCCCACAATAAGTCAGTACCATGTGTCACTTGATGGTCTAAGTAAGATGAGCATAATGTGACAATAGTGATGTCCAAAATGAATGAAAGAAATGGGAATCAAATGCAGGCACATTCCACAAAATAACTGGCCTGTGATTGCATCCAGTTATTTATTTCTTTATGAAAACAATACCCCTAAACCTGGTCACTAAAGGGAAATTTTTCTGCAGTTAGTTTATTCATCGTGAATAGCTTTTCTCTGCTTTATTGTATCAATCAGAGCAGTCTAAAGGCTGCTATCTACTAGGCCTGAGATAAAGGGGCCCAAGGGCTGGGGCTTAGAATAACCTATTCTAAGGCTTTCTCACTCCCCCCTTTGATACCTGTGCTCTGGAAACATCCCCTGAGGGCTGGAACACTCTGACCCTCAGGGCATTGCCACCTCTCTGTGGCCTCTCTCTCAAACTGCTTAAGGATAGCTAGATTTCCTCCGCACTAGGTCAGAATTCCCAGGAGAGTACTCCTGGTAGAAGCTGTATAGTCTCGTCTGATTTCCTTCTCTGTTAGCAAACCAAGGATGAAGTCCAGGGTTTCGTGAGCAAACACTACACTGAGTCCCTATGTGGCCGCTTCCAATCTAGCCTGAGATTGCACACAGAATTGTTTCTCTGCTATTTATTCATTGGATGACCCATAATCCTAGCCCAGACTAATTTCTCAGTGCTTTAAAAACTATATGGTTAATGGAACCATGTAAGACCCTAGGCAGCCAAAACAATCCTGAGCAAAAATACCAATGCTGGAGGGATTGCCATCCCAGACCTCAAGAAATATTTTAGAGTCACAGTAATAAAAAACAGTATGGTACTGGCACTAACATAGACATGTAGACAATGAAACAAAATCAAAGACCCAAACATGAGTACACATAACTACAGCCATCTGATATTTAACAAAGATGCCAAAAACATACTGGAGAAAAGACAAATGGTGCTGGGAAAACCAGATGTGCATATGTAAGAAAAATGAAATTAGACCCCTACCTATTTATTACCTTGCACAAAAACTAATTCCAATTGGATGAAAGACCTAAACTTGAACCTGAAACACCAAAACTGCTAGAAGAAAACACAGGCAGAACCATACAAGATATTGGTGTAGGAAAGGACTTCCTGATAGGACCTCATTTGTCCGAAAATTAAGGCCAACAATTGACACGTGGGACTTCTTTTTTCAAGACAGGGTTTCCCTATGTTGTTTTGGTGCCTGTCCTGGATCTCGTTCTGTAGACCAGGCTGGCCGTGAACTCATAGAGATCCACTTGGCTCCTGACTGCTGAAATTAAAGGTGTGTGCCACCACTGCCCTGCTGACAAGTGGGACTTCTTGAAATGAAGCTGAAGAAACAACCAACTAAAGCTGGGTGGCGCACGCCTTTAATCTCAGCACTCGGGAGGGAGAGGCAGGTGGATCTCTGTGAGTTTGAGGCCAGCCTGAACTACAGAGTGAGTTCCAGGAAAGGCGCAGAGAAACCCTGTCTCAAAAATAAAACAACAAAAACAAAAAACAAACAAAAACCCAACCAACTGGGTGAAGAGAAAAGCCCACAGAATGAGACAGTGCTTTTACCAGCTGTTCATCTGACAGAGGTTTAATATCCAGAACATACAAAGAGTTGCCTAGAAGGGAGCATTATGACCCTGCTTTCTCTAAAGACTGCTATTGGCTTAGATGCTTTTCCCGAGTGGAAATGCCATCATACCAAGCCTCCTTCCCCTTTATCTGAGGTACCCTAAATAAATGATACTGCCCTGCTAAACTAAGTTTTAAAAATCCAAATACTATATTGAGTTATAGTTCACATGATAGCGAACTACTGAAAAGAAATCCACAAACAGGAAATTACAGGAAGAAGCCACTAGATGGTGGAATTAATTTCTGAAATGGAGCCCAGGAAAAAGAAACCAGAGGCCACAAGCCTGGCAATAAAACACTCTGTGCTTTTGAAAAATATTCTGCAACCCACAGCTGCAACTTCTTGCTATTTAGAATTTCAATGACCTTGGTTTCTATGTTTTCTCTAAGCCAAGTGCCCTAGCCTTTCAGAAGCCATAGGAAGCCACATATATATTTCTGTTAAAATTCTCCAGTAAACTAAATAAAAGCTTATTGGGATTTCTAGTAGCTAATAAATGGGAGGAAAAAAAAAACAAACATTGTTTTAACATTTCCCTCTAAATTCAAGAAATATTAGGAACTTTTTAAACTGAAACATAATCACCCTGATTACAAGAAAAATAACAAAAGAAGTTAATACATCCCAATGTGCTCTTTAAAATAGTCCAAAATAACCCATTTGCCTTTGGTTATTTATAGACTGGCCAAGGGAGTCTGTATCATATCAAACATGTCAGTGATCACAAAAAAAAAAAAAAAAAAAAAAAAAGTGGAGTAATCAATATTTTGGTAAAAGCCACTTGGTTAATTAAACTGACCAAACTGATCCTTGAGGTTTATTCTGGTTAGGCAAAGGATGACTAGAAAATTAAATACAAGATAATGCCCAGTGTTTGAGCATGGTGACTCATGCCTAGATTCCCAGCACTTGGGAAACTGAGAAGGTTGCCATGAGTTCCAGATCAGCCTGTGCTACATAGAAAGCTACAGAAGAAGTAAGAAAACACAGTTAAGAGTAAAAGTAACATTGCACAAGCAGAGAAGTAAGCTAAACACAACCAAAGAGCTCCCTGGACAGAAAGGAGACTGGGGAGCTGCTTCCCAAAGCAGGCAAGAGGCTAGCCAAATGAAAGCCCTGCAGCTCTCCCCCGAGGAGAAGCCACACAGCCCTGAGAAAGTCTCAAATTCAGCTGTAGATCTGGTGAGACAGTGATCCCTCCTATAGACAGGGCAGCAGCAGAGAGAAATGGCGTCTTGTCGTGTTATTTCACTTAAGAGATGCATTCTTTAAAAGCTGAGCTGTCTGAGTCCTGAGATCAGGGAACATTCATAAGTTTGGGAGCCTCAGTTTGGCCTCTGAGTAAGGAAGGCCTAGAGAGACAGCTGTGGTGAGCAGGAAGGCCAGCGCTGACAAGCAGAGTGCAGGTTATCAGGAGGCTGGCTCAGGCTGCGAGGTGCACACAAAGAGATGCTAGCACTCTCAGTGGAAACAGGTCCATCCACCAAGAGTTCCCTAGAAACTGACAGTCTTGGGTGAGAGGTCAGTGGATACACAAGTTCTATAGGACAGCTATCCATCTGTCACTCACAGATGGGCCAGGGAGATGGCTGGGCATAGGAGCCTATGCTGCCCTTACAGAAAGGGTCTGTTTTCACTCCCACATTGGTTGAATGGCCCGTAATTCCTGTTTGGGGGATCTAATACCACCTTCTGGCCTCTGAGGACACCTACACACATGTGGCACACACCCAGACAATCAAACACACACAAACATACACATACATGAAAAATAATTTTAAAAAGAAAGGAAGAAGAGCTATAGAGAGTGGGTCAGTCTTTCCACAGAATACTTCAATGATTCTGAAGAAAATGCTGGTGTAAATATAGCAAAGGGCATTCTGAGCAAGTCTCCGATGGAAACGAAAACCATTACTACCAGAAGAGGCAAACCTTGCAGTAAACTGGCAAAGAGCAATCAGGTGTAGTGTTCTGCAAAACGTGGAAATTGTGAGCAGCAATGCAATTGGATATTTATGAGCCAGGCATGCTAGTATATGGCTGTAATGTATGCACTCAGAAGGCAGAGGCAGGAGAAGTGTTATAGTTTGAGGCCAGCTGGTCTATACAACAAGTCTACATAGAGATACTATTTTAAAACAAAACAAAAATGTTATCACTACCATCACCACCAACGAAACAGGATATTTATGAATTATGACCTTAGGAATATTTTGCTTAAACCACCACCA